TTTTATGAATTCATTTCGATTTTAAATGAGTTCCGGGAAATTGCAACAGACAAACGGGCATTGCCATTGATAAAGAATATATATTTCCACGTCACATTGTTTGAAATTACTCAAATATAATGTGTATTACACCACAGTGCTCCGTCGCCTGTGTCATGATGTACGTTGCGTCCAACATATGAGCTCGTCTCACTTATATTCAAACGTATCGCCTGTTATTAGCATTGCCTTGCGCGGACTCAGATGGATGCTCCCGATGGCTCTGCCGCCGGTCGCTCGTACGCTCAATCGCGGCGGCTTCACGGCAATTCCGGAGCCCACGGTTTCATCGATCACCGGACCTGGCGGAGGGAGGGGAGGCCATTCGTCGGAGGGAAGGAGCAATGGCCTCCCGTCTTCCTTGGATCGTCCAAGGCCTCCCTCCCCGAGCTAATTGATCCCTAATTTGCACGTTCCTGATTGGGTGGGCATTGACCGTCGGGATGCTCCGGTTGGGGCGGGCAGCACCGGGAGCTGACCCCTGCCTGACCCGATTGAGTTGCGCGTCGATGGGCCGCGGCGCGCCGATACCGAGCTGCCAAATAATGGCGGAGGAATCCAAATAAGGAACTGGTCCCCCCGACTGTATTACGCCCGGAGTGCTTCGTATCGAACGCCACCTGAAGCTTAACGAGCGCCACGGCCGCGTGGCATTTTTCTCGTTTGGTCGAACGTGGCCGCCCGATATCCTTTTACGGCAATTCCGGCGAGGTGGCCCATGTGTGCCGTGAATGCGATCAATGCGAGATGTAAGTACGCGTGTGTGTGTGAACTTCTTTCGTACCGTACGTTTCCAACTGCGCTAATCGAAGGTGCAGGGGAAGGGCAACAAACTCAACACCAAAAGCAGTTCTAAAGAAATTAATAATTCGGTCTAGATTGAAAAGTGCATAGCTGCAGTGGCTTGCTAATATTGTAAAGAAGAGCATTCCGTGCGGCCGTGCGATGCAGTGACCGTCTTCGTTCGATGGCTAGCCAAAGCTCGATGGTTTATGTTGCTTGGCGAGCTCAGCAAGGTATTGTGGTTCATTTGTGGCAAAAAAAATGAACCACAGTGCCACGAATGAAATGAGATCTCGCGCGGGCAGAGTAATAGGCGGGCTTCGCTGGCGTGCCGCTTACATTAACAGCGGATCCGCGTACGGATCGGCAGGTGTCTTGCGGAGTTAACGGGCGGCTCGCGTTGAATATTGAAATCTTGCCCGTTGGTGGGCCTGTGGTGTGGGGGGGGGGGGGGGGAGTCGACAGCTTTGGGATGAATGGAGCTCCGAGGAAATCACATCGGAGCCTAATGACACCCGTACAAAACACAACAAGATTTACATCATGAATTGCATTTCATGAATAAAAATCTAATTTTGCATCCGGAAGATGTACGAACCAGGGACCTAAGTTGTAATTTTTTAAAAGGGAAAACATAATTTCTCAGATAGTATTATGTGTTTTTACACGTATATATAATGTATGTCAAGGCTAATGCACCTGTCAGGTTCCCCATGTTTAATTCACGTTAAATATAAAATGTGTTTTACTTTAAACACCGACCGCCCCATTAAGCCTCGGAGCAAACACAGTCACGTGATGCATTGCATTGAAAACATCAAACAACCCTCACTAAATCGGTGAACTCAGAAACGGGTATTCTAATACCTGTATGTACGTACTCGCTATGTTTTATAATCAAAAACCTCTCAACTGGAAGGCTACAATGGGAGCGCGTGGGTCCCTAATCTTGTTTAGTGCCCTCACTTCTGATAAACTCAAATGCTGCTGCACTCGCAGAAGGCTTGGTCACAGCTGCGCTTTTTCTTCCGTTAGGGTAAAGGCACAGCCCCTGCAATTGCTTCCTCGTGTCACTGCTGCCGGAAGGGCCTCCACTAAACGGAGCTTTAGAGAGCCCCCTTATACATCGGCCAGATATCTTGCGAAGGGATTACGTTAAAATATCAACTCACCGCTATGCAAAGCTGAAGTTCAACAGAAGTTATGTCGTTGCTTTGTATGCACAGAAATCTCTTTCGGTCCCACTGTACCCACCGTGTCTACTGTACTCACTCCCTGTTCCTATCTCCCACATTCTTCCCACACTTCTCACAAAACTGTGGACTGGATATCAAAACCTCGCGCCACGCTGTAAACGATTGCTGTTCCCCTACGCGACACCGCACACACCGTTCAGTGGATTTGCGGCTGCGTTGCCAAGCGAGGTCTCCGCGCCTGCAGAAGAATCACGTGGTGTCGCTTCGTCTATCCCCGTGCACCCGATCATCACAGTTCGCACAAACTGAGGCGTTTTCGACCGGCAAAGCCCGACGGGATGTCCCAGCATACTTTGCAATGTAAGATGACGGCACCGTCCCTGCATGCGTTTTTCACACGGTCTCTCACCTTGACATGCAAAGCATGCTGGGACTTCTTGTTGTGTGCGTCTGCTGTGTAAAACGCCGCTTTTGCCTTGAGAATTATCGGTTCAATTCTGGCCCGTGGTCGATGGGCTTTGCGATGAGCCGCCGAAAGTGCTTGGACTCGGATATATTTGCCGCGATCGGTGTCACTGAGCGCGACGGTGAAAACGGCAGACGCGGATGCTCGTTAAAGGTGGGGCTTGAGGTACGTCTCTCCGTCTCTCCTTTTCAAATGTTTTATTCCAGCTTTTCAGCAACAGCGGAACCGGCAAAATACAGAAGCACGAGGGTTAACTCGCACGCACGGCGCATTCTGCCGTCCCACCCTCGTCTTAATGTAGGAGCATCGGGGGAGAGCTGAGCAGGAGACAAGAAAAGAGGAGGGGAGAGGACGGGAGGAGAAGAGAGGGAAAGAGGGGGCCCTCCGGCAAGGTGCTCACGATGGAGAATAGAATCAACTCGAAGGGGTCCCTCCGCTCCCTCCATTCCCTCCGCACCATCGCCAGGCTACAACGTCGCCTGCTGCGTTTGCCACCACCGCGCCTCTACGCTCGGCCGCCCACCGCGTCTCTCTCTGCTCTCCGGTGGCCCTGCACCACAGCTCACGGTGGAACTCTCCACAGCAGCAGCATCGGCAGCCTCACGACTCAAATCCTACTCCTCCTCCTCCTCGTCGCTACACCGAGGAGCAGGAGATCGTGGTCACTGCCGGGCGTCGTTTCCCCGTGGCAGCTCCCGCCGTCTGCAACGTGGCCATCGTCGTCGTCGTCATCGGCATCATCATTGGCATCATCGTCGTCGTCATCATCATCATCGTCGTCATCGGCGTCATCGTCCCACTGCTGCTGTGCATTCGCAGCAGCGTTCAGTCTGCACTTATTTTTGAGCCACACTTAAAGGCCCCTCCTCTTTTTTAAATGCCCCACCTCTTCAAGGCCTCACCTTTTTCCCCTGGCTTTAGAACCACGCTGAGCTTGGGCTCTGCGTCTCAGACACACGGACATTCATGTCCGTAGAATATAGTGCGCCTGTTCTAAATTGCATTCTTTATGTGACCGGGGGGTGGGGTGGGGGGATGAGACCATGATCTTCGCGTAGTCTTCGTCGCCAGCGGTCCCAGAGACAGACCGTCCAGGTCTCTCGCTTTCAGGATTTCTCTCACAAGGCAGATGGAGGCAGGGGGCTGTCTGGCCTCTTCCTTTACCGCTTGAACATCTGCAGCGCATTTTGACAAAATCCAGCTCAGCTGCTCTTGCCGCAGTTTCTGCGCGAGAGTTTTTTCCCCCCGTCCTGGTCTTGATCATCTGCGACATTTTCGATAATGTTGCGTGCGCGCGTGTGTGTGCACGCGTGTGTGTGTGTTTGTGTAATCTTGAAAAAATCTGTACGATAGAATACCGATTCTGTGTTATTGATTTAAAGATAATTAAAATAAATGTATTTAAGTTTGCGCGCTAACCGTTGACGCAGGAGACGGAAACGTGAACACGACCAAATCGGCTCGCAATCGGAAAGACGTGAAGATCAAATCCCAGCTGGGAGTTGACTTGGCCCATCATGCCATCTCGGTCGATAAAACGATTACCACGTTGGGGGGGGGAATTCAACAGCGGTTGTCCTATGGATAGACTCGCCTCCACTCTAGGAATATGCAATTTCAACCGCTGGCTCAGGGGCTGTGAAGGGAGATGGGCACCGATACATCAGCGCTCACTTGAGCAGGAAATCACTCCCGACTTGTTTTGTATCTATCCCACGTGTGTGTGTGTGTGTGGTGCATATGGGGAGCGGTGCTGGAGTGGTTTTCCTACTGCACCACAATACCGGTAGCCTGAGTTCGACTCCCAGCCAAAGATAACGTGCTGACTTATAACTTGTTATGGGCATCCTCTAAGTCATCTCAGCCTTAAAATATGAATACCCAGTGGCGTGCAACAACAGAGTCAGAGGAAACATGGAACGTCTTGAGCCTGGACTTGAGCAGGGGCTGCGAGTCGACAGCACGGTCGGCTGGGGGGCGGGGGAGGGGGTTGACAGTTCCAGACATTGGGAGCATCAGAAGAGAACTCCCCCCAACACATTTGAGGCTCCCTTAATGGACTGGCCTGCCGGCTTGCTTACTTCCCTTTTCCAGTGGGGTAACCACATTGAGCTGTGTGCCGCTGATTTAAAAGCGTGCGTGCGTGCGAGCGTGCGTGCGTGCGCCGCGCCCTTATCTCCCAGACAGGTGGAGTTTATCGCCTCTAAATGAACTGCAGAGCCGCAGGAAGGTTGTACGAGAGGCGCCGCTGCGGTGGCGGTAACGAGCAAAATAGAATGCAGTGGCCGGGGGGGGGGGGGGTCCTCCACCCCTCGTGGGGGTTTTTGTTTTTTTCCCTCCAGCATCATCGTCGTCTTGTTGACGAGGCGGAGCCGCTGTCCCGGGGAAATCAGTTTGTGTATTCACGTGTAGTTGTTTCTCCCCTCTCCTGGTATTGTGGCAGCCCTGGAAACTAAAACTTCAAGGTTGTATGTGACCAGCTGTAAGGCCCACTGAGCTACGTAACTCTTTTTCAGGAGCCACCTGGCCATCACAGATGGCAGCCCAACCGAGTGGCTTCTCTTCGTGTGGAAATCTACGGCGTCCCGAAGACTCTGACACGCGTGACGTCCGATCGTGAAAGAAGGGGCCGACTCGGTGCTGGGAGACGCAGCGATTGGCCGAGCGATGGACCCCGGCGGAGAGCACCGATCCTGGCACGGGGAGCTCTCCCACCTGCGGTGGTGGCGGCAGTGCCCGGCCTCAAGAAGCGAAGTAACAGCATGGGCTCCCAGCTTCATACACTACTATGAGGGTGAACCATTTATCAACACGAGCTCACAGCCTTTTACATTCATATAAAAAAGCACGTAATTCTAATTGCGGCGTTGACGTCATTGAAATTGGTGCCTCCGCTTATTGTTTCACGCAACTGATGTGACGTGGCGTGTCCGGTGTGCGACGTTCGTGGCCACGTGGCCACACGCAGGAATGATTTCTGCTCCGGGCCCCCTTGAGCTCGCGGCCGCTCTGCCACCGCCGCGTGCCAAGCCCGGTGACGAGCCACGGCAGTGATTGTTGTTAATGCCGTCATAAAACTCATTAATGTTACGATTTGTGTATGTAATTATGCACTGTTGTGGGCCATTACGGGTTGTTAGACAAACAACCGCACACTTTTGTTATACACTAATAGCTCACGGGTCGCTGTGCGTGGATGTCAACCGGCAGCGTCCGATTCGGCAGGCGAAACCTGGAGCCACTTCACCCTGCTGGGTCTCATCAGCTGAGCCGAACTTGATAGACAAATGCACGCCTGGGTTGCCAGATATGATTGGCAGTAGTCCTTCAGACATTGCTGTTTACAGATCAATCAGACACGAGGACTCTTTATCCAAGCGCCATGCAAAGTCAATAACAGAAGCGCCTCTACGTGTGATCGTGGTGTAAGGTTTATTAACGCTTGTCCGGTTCGGTGGTGATGTGCCAAGACTGACTCAATGTTAAGGCCATAAGTTCAAATCCCCGCGAGGGCTCGATCCATCCTATCACCCCTCCGGGCCAGTGCCATGGGCACCAATTGGCAGAACGCCATCGGCGGTTGTCCTGTGGAGAGACTGAAGCTTGGCGTAGGAAGGTGGAATTTCCATCACCGAATGAGGGCCATCAGTGGAAACGAATATTGCCCAACAGTCATGTGACTCTGACTCGACAGAGTTCGTCTTTTGCCTAACACAATCGCGGGAATTTATTTTTAAATGATTTACCTCCGTTTTGTAGATAATAATCGTGGTACATGTCACGAGTTTTCCGCACGATGACATCGCAACATCCAAGCGGCTCCGGGCAAGGAGAGATCCGAGCGACGCCCCTCCGACATCACCTCCGTGCATCTCCTCGGCGACATCTCTCCTTGCCCGGTCGAGACATCCGGTGTGAATCCCGATCGCCGCGACGAGCGTGTTCGGCTGCGTGCGTCACACTGCGCGGTGCAGTCGCCCCGTGCTAGAACTCCGTAATATTTAAACAAGTGTTTAATATTAATCGCGTATTTTGAGAGAGAGGGAGAAATTGTTTACTCGGGCCGTGTGAAATCAATGATGCCTCGGTTTGTAACCACAAGCCGGAGACGAAGTGATAAATATCATATTGGCTTTCCTAATGACCTGCCATTCCTCATAACGCATGCCTAATTATGAGTTATTGGCTTATAAACACGGTCATATTTAATGCAAAACCACACAATTAAGATATCATGTGTCATTAAACCGTTAAAAACACGAAGAAAATCATTAAAATAACTATTTAAACGCGTGAGATGCTGCGATTCACTCCGATTTCATTGTACTCTGTGATTAATCAGCAATCCGAGGTCAAGCGTGCGTGGATCAGAAACGGAGGGTGGATGTTTCAGATGCCTCTGCAGAATAATTATGTATACATTGACATCCTTTCACAGTTGTTAAGTTGCTAAACTGAATGAAAGTGATATTACATCCCCTAAAACCTCTATTATACATCCCGATATTTACAGCCCATTAATATTTCAGACACGCATCTTTCGAGATCTGACCTGGCATCTACTGGACATCTGTGTCAAGGAGCTTTATAGCTCGTCGGATTCTTCCAGGCTAAATACAGATTGTGTTTTTGTGTCTCATCATCCGGTCTTAGGTCTCCTCCTGGGGTCTCGGGACTCGTCGAGACCACTCCAATGTCCGTCTCGGCAACTGACATTCCTCCGTGCCGACACACGCGACGTATCACCCAGTGCAGCCGTTTATCCCGAATTGTACCCGCAACACTCGCCTGACTCGCGCATTGCTGACCCTGCCTTGCCACTAATCTCATCGCATCGCCCGCCTTCAAGGTGCCAACAACTTCCTTTCCAACTGCGTGGTCCATCCTCTTGCTTCACACGGGACATGTGTGCACCAGAGGGGAAACTGAGCTACCTAGGCCACCTGAATTGTGTTTCTCAGGAAGGCAGGCATGGGTTGGGGGCGTTTGTTGGTGGGTCGGTGGGTGGGTTGGTTTGTGGGTGGGTGGGCCAGTAAGGGCATTCTGTGGGAAAATTTACTGGCGACGCGCAGAGTGATGAGCGGCTCGTTAGCGTGCATCACGGAGTGCGGTCAAACACTTTGGCGGAGCATGCGTCGTCATCGTCGTCATCGTTGTCATCGTTGTCATCGTCGTCATCGTTGTCATAGTTGTCGTCATCGTTGTCATCGTCGTCATCGTCGTCATCGTTGTCATCATAGTCGTCATCGTCGTCGTCGTTGTCATAGTCGTCATCGTTGTCATAGTCGTCGTCGTCGTCGTCGGCAGCGGTGCGCGTGGGAGCCGGGCGAGCGCCACCGGCTCGTTCTGCCGCGCACAGACGCGCGGGCGCCGGCCCCCAGGAGCCCCCTCCTCCCATCAAATATTAATTAGAGCACGGGCCCCTCATGCGTATAACGAGCCCTAATTGCGACTCATTTGCATACGCAGGTAATCCGGCGATGGTCATTGCTCGGCCCATTCATCACAGCGACGCGGCCGACACGTGGAGGTTAGCGGCGCGTCCGGGCTTAACTCTTTGCCTTCCCAAAGAAAATCCCGCGTCAAATCCCAGCGGCGAGCACCGCGGGCGCGGATTGCGCTGCCTGAGTTAAGAACCGGGTGGAGAGGCCCCCCCCTGAGACCAGAAGCCTCTCTCTGTTTTAGTTTTTTTCTTTTTTCCCAGCGAGAACGAGGCCACGGAGCGTGCGACCGTGACCGGCCAGGCAGCTTCTCGTGAACAGAATCGGAGCGTTTATCCGCGGCTCAGCGTAGCGGGGCACTGTGTGTCTCAGGTTCAAACACTGCTCATTTGACCCAGGTGCCTACTCATTTGATATCCTTTGCAAAGGTTGTCCGGCTGATAATATGCACATAATCACAGTTGCCTACATTATTCTACTTCGTAAATTCGTTCCGTGTAGTTTTACCACGGAGAGTCAGGGGTTAAGAAGCCGCCGCTGGCATCGCCTTCTCTCGTCAATGTCGTCACGGACGATGGGGGTCGATCACGGTCCACTTCACAGAAGATGACCTGCTTCAGTAAATGCCTCGAGGAATGATCGGTCGGCCGCAGGCAAAAGATTGAGCAGTCAGCGCGTCAGCTGCCTCGACGGCCAGCGTTGCCAAATTAGAAATTAATGCCCCATTCGTCAACTCGAGGCACGAATTAGACGCTTCTCGCTAATCCCGCTGATGAACCCGCGCGCGCGTCTGCGCTTCGTTTCAACCGGTTCCGAGTCGCTGGCGCCCCTCACGGAGCGGACCTCAGATCGTGGTCACGGCCAAGTCGGCGTACGCCCCTCGGGACGTCCTTCTGACGCGCGTCACCGTTTGAGTTTGCGAAAGGTTTCATATCATCCGCGCTCGCCTCGCGTTCTTGTTTAAGACTCAAGTGCCAGGAACGCACACACACACTCACGCACGTACACACGCACACACACGCACACGCGCGTGCATCCAGCATCGGCGTGCAATGCCTAACAACGCAGAGCAATATCCATTTGAAATTGTTATCGGCCCCTTGCTCTGCCGAACCAATAACCTGGCACAATGATTGATGTTCGTATTAATGGATTCTGTTTAAGGGGGGGAGGGTTGGGTGGGGGGGGGGGAATCACAACGTAAAAAAATGATGCAATTAATGCCCAGCAGTGGCTACGATGTCAGAACATCTGTTATGCAGTCGGATAATTACATCAATAACTGGTGAGATTATGGGTGAGCTGATAGCGCGTCAAATCAGTCAGTGGCCAGCCCTGCCAGGAGGGCCCAGCGCAAGGGGCTGTGACTGCGTGACGCGGACAACAGCACTCAGCCTGGGTCACCGCAGCAGCAGCAGCACACAGCCTGGGTCACCGCAGCAGCAGCAGCACACAGCCTGGGTTACCGCAGCAGCAGCAGCAGCAGCACACAGCCTGGGTCACCGCAGCAGCAGCAGCACTCAGCCTGGGTCACCGCAGCAGCAGCAGCACACAGCCTGGGTCCCCGCAGCAGCAGCAGCACTCAGTCTGGGTCACCGCAGCAGCACACAGCCTGGGTCACCGCAGCAGCAGCAGCAGCAGCACACAGCCTGGGTCACCGCAGCAGCAGCAGCACACAGCCTGGGTCCCCGCAGCAGCAGCAGCACACAGCCTGGGTCACCGCAGCAGCAGCAGCACACAGCCTGGGTCACCGCAGCAGCAGCAGCAGCAGCAACAGTACACAGCCTGGGTCCCCGCAGCAGCAGCAGCGCAGGACCCTGGCTTTAAAACAAACACCTCAATCCTGCTCCCGTCCGATCCCGAGTCGAACACCGAGATAGGTGTCTCTGCCTTCAAGCTCCTCCATGGACTCGCCCCTGCCAACTACTTTGTCTTGTCTCACTACTTACCTCCACGCGCTCTCCTACCTCTCCACTCTCCTACCTCTCCACTCTCCTACCTCTCCCCTCTCATCGCACTCTACTCCCCTCCACACACTCTCCTGCCTCTCCCCTCTCATCACACTCTACTCCCCTCCACGCACTCTCCTACCTCTCCCCTCTCATCTCACTCTACTCCCCATCACGCACTCTCCTACCTCTCCACTCTCATCTCACTCTACTCCCCTCCACGCACTCTCCTACCTCTCCCCTCTCATCTCACTCTACTCCCCATCACGCACTCTCCTACCTCTCCACTCTCATCTCACTCTACTCCCCTCCACGCACTCTCCTACCTCTCCCCTCTCATCTCACTCTACTCCCCATCACGCACTCTCCTACCTCTCCACTCTCAACTCACTCTACTCCCCTCCACGCACTCCCCTACCTCTCCCCTCTCATCTCACTCTACTCCCTTCCACGCACTCCCCTACCTCTCCCCTCTCATCTCACTCTACTCCCCTCCACGCACTCTCCTACCTCTCCACTCTCATCTCACTCTACTCCCCATCACGCACTCTCCTACCTCTCCCCTCTCATCTCACTCTACTCCCCATCATGCTCTCTCCTACCTCTCCACTCTCATCTCACTCTACTCCCCTCCACGCACTCCCCTACCTCTCCCCTCTCATCTCACTCTACTCCCTTCCACACACTCTCCTACCTCTCCACTCTCATCACACTCTACTCTTCACGTGCTCTCAGCTCCAGAAAGCAAGAGCTTCTGTCGAAACCCTCGCTTAACAGAGGTCGCTGCTTCTTCTCTGCTGCTCCCACAGTCTGGAATCCCTCGTGTCTGGGCACCTGCACTGCGGAGGCCTTTCCTCTTCCAAGTCCAGACCCGAGACTCTCCGCATCCCTTCCGCCTGTGACTGATGTCTCTCTCTCTCTCCATCTACACAAAAGTCTTCAATCACATTTCCACCATTAAGTCTCAGTTCCCCGTCTGGCATGTAAAATTCGATCCCTCACTCCCCGTCCTAACGTTAAACGCTCTCACCGTGTGCGGGCCCTCTCTCCAGATGGGTTCGCATTCCCCCATTCCTGCAACGGCTCGA